AGGAAGGAAGGAAGGAAGGAAGGAAGGAAGGAAGGAAGGAAGGAAGGGTCCTAAAAGAAGAGTTCTGGGGCATCCATCCATATGTCCATCCAGCCACACACATGCATTGTACACCATTTGTAGGTCAGGCCATATATGAAAGTCTACATAAACAAGTTCAGCACATTTCTCACCCTGAGTGTACAGTAGCTCGTCTAGTAGAGGAGGCCAACTTTTTGTATTGAAGGGAAGGGTGATGGAAGTAAAATTTTACATAGGATCTGTCCTGATCCAGGAGAGGTACTTCACTGGATTTATGTCTTTTCTTTTAAAATCTTCATTATAGCCTGTGGGGTATTATTATCTCTGACCTGTAGATTAAGAAATTGAAACTCAAAAGTGGAATGACTTGTCCCAGGTCACATAGCAATGAGGTGCGAGCCAGAACTGACTCCAAGTCCTTTATCACCAACCTTTCATTCTTGGATCCCCCACCTTCACCCCCAGAGGATGATGTAGGATGAAAAGGATATTTGGATATTGAAGGCCTAGTGTGCTAAGGGACAGGGGAGGGGTCCAGATGCCAGGCTGGGAGCCAGGCAGAGGCCAGCATGTGCCTGGGTCCCCAGGGCCCAGGGAGGAACGTTCTAAAGGCTGCCTTTGACAGCACATGGATGGAACAGAGCTGTACTTTTTTGCAGTGGGCCTGCTGCCCCCAGGGAAGAGCATGTTTGTCCTGGCGCACTCAGAGAGGGCCTGGGCTGGGTCTCTGCCAAAGGGGTTGGCACTGGCTCGACATTCCTACAGATTGGACACAATGATTCTAACCCAAATCCCACATAGTTGATTTAATCACTTGGGGCTTTAGGGGAGGTGGGGAGTGGGGGAGGGAAAGAGAAAGGAGTAAGTTTCAAACCTAATATGGACAAAACAGATTCTGCCTTCTCTTTAGATCTGTGACTGTGGCCAGCAGGTTTGGAGACTGAAATAGCCCCATGTGCATTTGCTTAGCGGCCTGCATGAGGGCCAGCACCTGCTGTTCTCCCTCCCCACTAAGTTTGCCAAGCACTCCAGGCCTCTGAACCCAGAGGCAGCCATGGGGTCCTGCCAGTTGCTTGCTGGAGGACAGACTCACCCTGGTCTACTTACGGGGCTCCAGCCCCGGGGTGTGCACAGTATGTGTCTCTTTCTTCAACTATGCACCTTTTACATCCCCCTTTCCTTTTTTGTTCTCTTTTACTTCATAGCATGCCTCTGTGCTGTCTCTGTGTTCCTTTCCCTCCTTCCTATCAGAAAACAACATGCTTTGGAGGTAAGACAGCAAGATGAAAGGCAGCACAGACTCCTGGTTACAGCTTTTTATGTATGCAAGCCTAGGCAATGGCTTAATTTTTATGAACTCAGATCTTTCATCTGTAAAACTGGGTGAGAATACTGCTCTCATACTCTTATGTGTGTGTAGTACCAAGGCTAGGACTCTGTTTTAGGAAACATTTAATAAAGAGTCGCTCTCTCCTCTTGTTTGTTTACATTTTGCCTTTCTTGGGCACGAATCAAGGGAAGAAAAGAGGTATTTTTGCAGAATTTCCCTTGTGATGGTGGGGAGGGGGGAGATAAGGCCACATGCCTTGTTCCTAAGAGTGTCCACAAGCCCTTCTTGGAGGCTGGTGGTTAAGAGTACTTGTTGCTCTTGCAGAGGACTCAGTTTGATTCCCAGCACCTACAGATGGTTCACAACCATCTGAGACCCCAGTTTTAGGGGAATCCAATACCCTCTGGCCTTGTGGTATATATACAAACATGCAGGAAAACACATATAGAATAAAATGAATAAATTAAAAGAGATTAAATTAAAAAGAAATGTTACAAGTCCTTATTAACATCGTATCCTTTGGAGTAGCATCCTTAGGGATATAAATCCACAAATCACCCTGTAACCTCTGCCAGTCACTGTCTGTGCTTTCCTAGGATAAAGGATGGAGCCTACCTGGAGATTGGCAGATTGGGTCTCTTCCCTGGGAATGGTGGCCTTTCTTTGGGGTTCTGGTTGAGTTTAGAAGATGTTTAAAGTTAGGGACTGTACTTAATGCTCTCAGTTCCCAGGGGAAAGGATGTGTGTTCATGTATTTTCTCTGTTTCTCCCTCTCTCTTCTGCCTTTCCAGCCAAGTGGGAAAGGGCCTCGGTTGCCAGAGGTGTACTGTGTCATCAGCCGTCTAGGCTGCTTCGGCTTGTTTTCCAAGGTAAGAGATGCTGTCTTCCTTCCTCCCCATGCCACAGTGACAGCTCTCATGGGAGTATCTGCAGCTAGCCTAGATGAGAAAAACACCTGTGTGAGAGACAACACAAGAAAGGGTGTACAGAGCAAGTCCAAGTCGACTCTCAGATTCCTGTATTCCCAAGCCTAGCCGACTGCCTAGCTGGCTGACATATGTTGATAGCGACTGCTCTGTAGCAGCCCAGCCTGGGCCCTGGACAGAGCTGAAGTCCTCGGAGAAGCCAGGAGTGCCCAGGAGGCTGTTTCACAGGTGCTATTTCTTTTGCCCTTCTGTTCCCTTCTTGGGGACTAAAGCAGGGAACTGAATGGTCACTGAGGGCCAAGACAAAGAGGAAAGATACAGAGATTGTGGCAGGGCAGCTTTCCTGTCTCCAGGCTTCTGGCCCAGCTTGGTCAGAGGTCAGGCTGCCCTCTTCTCTGTCAAAGAGGTAGGGAAGGCGGCTCCCAACACTCTCTCTTTGGGCTGCTGGTGATGGGCACAGGTCCTAGATGAGGTGGAGCGCCGGCGTGGGATCTCAGCTGCACTGGTCTACCCCTTTATGAGAAGTCTCATGGAATCGCCCTTTCCAGCCCCAGGGAAAACCATCAAAGTGAAGACATTCCTGCCTGGTGCTGGCAATGAGGTAGGGAATTGCTGCTGCTTTCATCTCTGGCCCTGGGTTGGGTCTGAGAAGAGCCTGGTCAGCCAGAGTGCAGCTTCTGGGAGCTGTAGAACACAGATCCTTCCTTGCTCACCTTGTCTGTACACCCAATCAATAGGAATAAAAATGTGAACCCTGGAGCTGGAGCTCTTAAGTGTTGCCCAGTTTTCTTCTGCTAAGAACTTTAGCTGGCCTGTACCCTGGATTAACTGTGCCCCCTATTCATTTAATAAATACTGATCAAGAGCTTTCACAGCTGGAGATTATACCAAACCTTGGATGTAGTCATGAAAATAAAGAATGAAACAGCTCCGTTCTCCAGGAGATTTTTTTTTTTTTTTACCTAGAAGGAGACCTGTTGTTGAATACTTATA